GAGCTCTAAGTTTTAAGTCCTGAGTTTTAATTTATATTTAAATTAAGAATATTATACTATATTTATTATTTATCATATTTATTACTTAGTTATAATTATAGAAATCTAAAGTATAATAAATAATAATATAATTATAATAGACTTATATAAAATAAATATTATTAAAAAAATTATTTTTTTAATTAATTTTCTTATAAAGAAGATTTTATAACAAAGATTTTAATAATATTTAATTTTTTATAAAGAATAATCTTAAAAACTAAGATTTTAAAAAAAGAAATAATTATAAGAATAATAATTCTTATAATTTTTATAATATATTATATTATAAGAAATATTTATACTATAAAAATAATTTCTTATAAAATAATTATATTAGTATAATATATAATATATAGAATTTTTATAAATATATTTATTAATAAAAAAAATTAGATAAAAGACTAATAATAATACTTTAAGTAATATAAATATTATCTTTACTTTATAATAGATATACTTTCTTTATACTATCTCAACACATACTCTTATATAAGAAAATAATATTTTTTATCTATTTATATATTTATTCAGATTCTAAGTATTGGTCTATTAAAAATATCTAGAAATAATTAAACTTATAGCTAATAATTCTTATTATTTTATAAAAGAATATATAACTCTGCTGATTAGAAAAATATAAATAATAATAATAATAATAATAAAAACTAAATATTTATATCTTTTTTAAGATTTTACTTTTATATCCGGGAAGTAAGATAGTATTAAAAACTAATAAACTTATAATTAATAAATTCTTATTAAGTTCAAAAATAATAGTTATTCTTATTATTTTCTAAGTTAATTAAATAAGAAGAATAAAAAAATAAAGATAAAAAAATCAGATATTTATATTCTTTAGACTCTGTCTTAGTATTTAAAAGTAAGATAATATTAAAAATTAGCAAACTTATAATTTATAAATTCCTATTAATCTGAAAATAAATAGTTATTCTTATTATTTTCTGAACCAGCTGATTTAGAAGAATATAAAAAAAATAGAAGTAAAATTAAAATTAAGTATTTATACTCTCAGGCATTATCTTAATATTTAAGATTCAGATATAAGACTAGTATATGTTAAGAGAAAAATCAGAATATGCTAAGAATAAGATTAAAATAAAATTAATAATAAAATTACAGTAAAATCAATTATACAATTAATATAAATAAATAAAGATCTTAAACTAAATTTCTAGAAAAAAAATAATATTATAAAATATATCTTAAAGCTATTTAATCTATCTAGCCTGATTTATTAGATTAATATCTATTAACTTATATATATATATATATAAAATTATAAGATCTCTGAAAGTTCTCTTTTGAATATTAGTTATTTCTTATATATATAGGCTTCGTTCTTTATAGTTTATGAATTCCGTCCCTAACAATTCTGATTAATAACTATAATAGCAAAGAAATTATACAGCTTAAGTATCTATTTATATAAAATAAAATCTAGCTATTAAATAAGCTAAAACATTTTTTAATATTAAGAACTTATATTTATAAATTATATAATCTTATAAATTTATTATCAAAATTTAGAATAAGAAATAAAAAGTATTAAATAAATTTATAAAAACTGTTTATAAGTCTACAATTATCTATAATATATTTTAATAAATAATGTCTAGAGAATTCTATAGAAATCTCTTATAAATAACTTTTATTATATATTTTTTTAATTATTTAGAAAGTATCATCAGATATCTTAAATTGTTTATTATTATTACTTTATATATATTTATTAGCTTTATTCAGATTAAAAATACTTTTTAATCTAGACGAGTCTAATAATTAATTATAATTAAGATATATCTACATTCTACTATCTAAGAATTTTAATAATAATTAGATATATATTTAAAAGAAATACAAGAATAGTAAGATTAATTATTTATTTAAATTAAATATATTTAATAATTTAGAATAGCAGGCAGCAGATAATCAAAAAATATAGTATTTAATTCAAAAAGTTTCTTTTATTATAAATAAGAGAGATCTAGAGATATTATAGCGGATATTAGTAATAATAATTTACTGAAGAATCCAGAAATCTTATATAGAGATAGGATTCTGCGATATAATAGTTAATAAAACTTATTTTAAAAATATTATATAATATAATAATTCTAAATTAATTATTTAAAGATTTATATTTTTTATAGACTTTTGAAATTATTTTATAATGTTATAAAAAAGATATATTTTATTAATTATAATATTATTAATAATAAAAGATTTTATATAAAAATTAGTATTAATACCTATATTATAAAATATCTTAATAATATTAATATTTAGATTATTATAATCTATACTTAAGATATTTATTAAGATTAGCTTGATACAAATATCTGCGGTTAATTTTAAGATATTATTACTAATTATATTAGCTAAAGAAATATCTTATTCTTAATTATAATTACATTATTTATTATAGTCTTATTTAATATCTTTATTTCTATCTTTATTCTTATTATCTATTTTATAATAATTGTTAGGGGTTGGAAACCCTTGTGTATATAGCTTAATATCCTGTGCTTGTTTTTTTATATAAGATATAATAACTAATTAACTATTATTTAATTAATTTATATTAATTTTTAATTTAATAAAAAAATATTATTATATATTTATTTTTTATTTTATAATAATTTAACTAAGTACTCTAAGATTATATATTTAATTTTTTTAATAATAATATAATTAAAAAAATAATTTAATATTATAAATTTTATTAAAATAAAATTTAAAATTTTTTATATATAATTTATATTAGAGCAGTTCTAGTCTCTATCAAAAATTATATTTTTTAAAAAAAATATTAAAGATTAGAAATTTTTATATATATAACTTAATATTCTATATATTTTTTTTATATCAAATATAATAACTAGTTAACTAGTACTTAGTTAATTTATATTAGTTTTTTAATCTAGTAAAAAAGTATTATTATATACTTATTATCTATCTTTTAATAATAATAATTATATTATATAAAATCATAATTAGTAAAAAACTAGAGCCTTAAATAATCTTAGCTAAATAAAAATTAGAATTATTATAATTAAATTTCTATCTTTAATTATATAATAAAATTATTATAGAATAGATAATAAGTATATAATAATACTGTCTTATCAGATTTAACGATTAATATAAGTTTACTAAGCAGTAGTTAATTAATTATTATATTTTATATTAAAAAAATATATATATAGAATATTAAGCTATATATATAAAGATTTCTAATCTCTAATATATATATATTTTTTAAATATAATCTCTATTAGAGACTAGGACTGCTTTAATATAAATTAGATATAAAAATTTCTAGATTTTATTCTAATAAAATTTATAGTATTTAATTATTCTTTTTTTAATTATATTATTATTAAAAAAATTAAATATATAATCTTAAAATACTTAGTTAAAATATTATAAAAAAATAATAAATATATAATAATATTTTCTTATTAGATTTAAAGATTAATATAAATTAATTAAGTAATAGTTAATTAATTAATATATTTTATAAAAAAAATATAAAATATTAAGTTATATATATAAAAATGTTTAATCTTTAATTATTAATATATATTTTCTTCTTAAGATATAATCTTTATTAAAGACTAGAATTACTTTAATATCAGCTATATATAAAAAATTCTGAATTTTATTTTAATAAAATTTATAATATTCAATTATTTTTTTTAATTATATTACTATCAGAAGAAATTAAATATATAATAATATAATCTTAAAATATTTAGTTAAAATATTATAAAATAAATAATAAATATATAATAATATTTTTTATTAGATTAAAAATTAATATAAATTAATTAAATTATAATAAACTAGTAACTACTTATTATATCTTATATAAAAGAGAGAAGCACAGGGCACCAAGCCACATACACAAGGGTTTCCAACCCCTAACATATACTGCAAAAAGTAATCAGCTAGAGATAAAAAGCTTAAAGATACAGTAAATAAAGATAAATAGAATTAAAATTAACTATTAAGGATCCTATTTCAAAGATATCCCCAAATTAAAAGTAGTTGTAAAGGTGATCCTTTCCGCCTGGATCCTCAACAGTAAAAGTACGGAGTACGGTCACGGAGTAGATATCAGATGATTTATGACTCCTAGTCAGCTTTTCAGCCTAATGGGAAAGGCTGGAACTCACAGCAGCCATTGGTGGACACTGCAAACGGGGTTTATCGCCCCTCAATGGATACCACACAACTGGCCAACAGACTTCTCCTGCCACCCACCTTTTGCTATTATTACACGGTGCCAGATCCCTGACCCCGCTTTTCTGTGGCAGTTGTCGTCATGTGGCACACCCATCATATGGCCTTCTGTAAAAACTATCATTTGCTGTTAGAACATAGCGGGCTGTTCCTTCTGATTCATATTTGGCACCGACATAGCCTAAGTGTTAGGTCATCGGCTTCAACTTCTCCTATCTTCGAGGCTCCCTCGGCTACCCTGGGACACTACACAATAGCACGTCATTTTAGTCAGTCACCCTTAATGCTGCCAGTCTGCCACACCCACGCACCAACCCCGCAGAACAAATACTTGGACTACTACTACTCCGTAGTTCCTTTCAGTAGCTGTTGCCCAACCATTAGTGTCTCGACTCATACCCCCCTACCCCCCATTCCTGATTCTCTCTTGTCCGTATTAGAGAGGGGCTGCTTACCCGTGAATCAATCCCTTGGACTTCCTGAAACTCCTGGTACAGAGCTATCAGGAGACAAAGATTACTCATAACCATTAACTTTTCAGCCTTTCTCGGCCATTGTGAGACTTATCGCCGAGACCCAAAGTCATATCCGCTTATTGCCACCAGACAAAGACACTGCCCGCGGCCCTGACAAATCATTTGCACGTGTGTTGTGCCAACATTGTCAAGTCTCAGTTCCATTGACTTCCATCAACACCATTTCACCAGTATAGGGATACCTCTGTCACCTTCAAGCGAAAGACATATTTCCAAGACTGACCTCAGAAGCAGTAACTTCTGTTTTATTTTCCATCCTGACTTACTAGTCTTTGTGAAAAACATCACCATCTCAGTCTGACTCACTCAGCTTTAATCTTCAATCTATCCTAGGCAATGACCTCATTCACTGCTTCTCCCCTGCTTGGTCGAAGTGAAAAGACCAACATGAGTTGTCTACCATCTGTTTCCAGTCTAATGTCTCCTCCAGAGTCAAAGCCTCTTGAAAACTTCAACCCTTCATTTTCACCCCACACAATGTCGCAGGATCCATCCTATGTCCATGAAGTGAGGCTTCCTCCCATCTCGAGTGATCGAAAGAGAACACAGTCCGAGATGGATCTACCATCCCCACCTGTTACTCCATATACTGGAAACAAAAAGAGGCGTTCAAACACATCGGATAATGCCGAGAAGGATGCCCTAGTCGGCTCCTCTAGGGACCCTGTTCTTTTCCCCCGCCACGAGTCTCTTATTGATATTGCCGCTGATGAGCCATTATTTGGACCTATGCTTCCTCCATCCGCAGAAGCATTGGTTGATCAGCACATAAACACTCACATGGCGAGATTTGAGACTAAATTAAACAAGCCGACACGTGACGAATATCTCCTAGCTCTTTCATGTGTGCCGATTGTATCCGCCCAATTTAACCGCAACCCAGCCGCATGGGCTAAAGAGGAGCGGGAGACCTTAGAGCGTCAGTTGGTTATGATGAACCGATGTCGCCCGCATTCTCTAGAGGCAAAATTGAAGAAGATTGCCCCGGCTCCTACAAAGAAGGCAGTTTCTGCCCAACTTCGTGTGCCGCGAACACCCAGAGCAAAGCGGACACCAAAGTCCACGCCCAGGCAGAAAGTTTTCAGCACATTTAACTCACCCCCGTCGAGTGGCAAGCCATCTCGCACGATAGGCACAAACCGAGACGATACAGATTATAATTCCATCAAAGACTATTCTCCTTCAATAGAGACTCTTGGAACCAATGCCAAGGCATTGAAGGCTGACTGGAAAGGCCAAGTGCTAGACCTGAGTTTTGACCCGGACCGACATTTGCTCAGTCCTGCCGAGATCAATCTTGCGGCCACTTTAAGGCTTTCCTGCGCGACTTATCTATGCAGCAAGCGCCGGATTTTCGAGGCCCGTGTCAGAGCGCTGAACGTTGGTAAGGAGTTTCGCAAGACAGACGCTCAACAGGCTTGCAAAATTGATGTGAATAAAGCAAGCAAGCTTTGGACTGCATATGAGCGTGTTGGTTGGTTCAAATCCGAACATTTTCAACAGCACCGGAGATAATGGGGGTCAGAGCATTGGCCCCCCTTTTTCGATATTCCTGTCGGCATGTCCCTGCGTATACTTCCTTTGATGATGAATTAGCGAGGCGATCTTCGGATTTCTGGATGTCTATCGGCCCCTCTTGCACGCGAATCCCACAGTTGCATTTTCTCCTTCTTTATAAACCGCTGAACTGATAACATGCTACCACTCACTTGTTTCTGCACTCAGCCGGCCTTTGTGCGAGATACTTTCAAATGACATTCCTGGTATTGATTTTGTACCCCGTCAATGCTGAGTCAACAGGCCCCAATTGTTGAAAACAGTGGTTCAAATCATTCTCCCCTGATATCAGCATTTGGCCGCGTCTTACTTTGCACGTGTCTAGACTTGTGTTTGATTGAGAAATCAGGATACTTCGTTTTTGAGGTTCAGTTATTAAGACCGAACCTCATTTTTTCTGGCTGTTGTTTTGTTATTGCGACTGGCTATATCGCGCAAGTGAGAGATCATAGAGTGGTGGATAATTAGTCAATTGAATCGTTTAGGAAGGCCTTCGAATTGCAAGAAATAGTAATCTCAAAACAATATAATTTCCTAGTGTCGAGAATGAATTGAACAATGTAGCTTAAGGGGAGGAAACGGAACCCAACATGCGGTTTATCTACTACGCTTACGTACTAGTAGGTTCCTAACTCTGCGGCGGATCTTGGGACGCCAAAGCCCACCAACTATGCAATCCTGTCACCTGCTAAGCTGCGCCACCCCATCCCTCAGTGAACAACCCTTTCTACCTTCAACTGAATCCTTAAAGCAATCATCTCTTTCATCCGGGTTTCTGTATTTGTGGATCACAGAGAACCTTTGATGGGTAATTCAAGCCGCCATGTCACATCCCGAAGCGACCCGGACAGCGTCTTTGGAGGAGCAAGATCCTAGGGGAGAGCTCGATGACAAGAAGCCTAAGACTAGACGACCTGCCAGTAAGAATTATACTTCATGGTGGATGCAGCCTGCAGCTCTAATAAATTGCTCCAGACACAGCCTTTCGTCAACAACGCTTAAAAGCCTGGCAGTAAGGATACCTCAATTCTTATACGCTTCAGGAGCCTAATGATTAGCATAGACCTATCTTGACACCTAAGAGCGTGCTTCCTCTTTTCTTCGTCGTCGGTGTCATTTTTGCTCCGATTGGCGGTCTTTTGCTATGGGCTAGTTCTCAAGTTAGTCTTCCAGCCTTAAGCCTCATATTCTTGAGTAACAAAGAATCGTTACCAGGTACAAGAGATAGTCATAGACTATTCAGAATGCGCTGCAAAAGCGCCCACGTCTTATGCAGCCTCGATATCAGATAAAGTTCACTCTTCGTTCAAATCATCCAGCGAAGAATCACCCCCAACCTGGCAAAGGTTTAATGAGAGTGGAACTACAGTCTGTCGACTGATCTTTGAGATTCCTGATACTTTAGAGCCGCCTGTGTTTTTATATTATCGCCTAACGAACTTCTACCAAAATCACCGCAGATATGTAAAGTCTATGGATATAGACCAGCTAAAAGGGAAGGCGGTTGATAATGCCACCATCGATGGCGGTTCATGTGACCCTCTCAACCTGGATCCCATAACCGGCAAAGCGTATTATCCATGCGGCCTTATTGCCAACTCTCGGTTCAACGATACAATTTATAGCCCGAAACTTCTGAGCGACGGCGTGGACGCGAAGACATACAACATGACCAATAAGGGTATTGCCTGGGATAGTGACAAGCAACTAATCAAAAAGACTCAATACAATAAATGGCAGGTGGTTCCGCCCCCCAATTGGCATGATCGCTACCCAAACGGTTATGTTGACGGTATCCCCAACCTCCATGAGGACGAGGAATTCATGGTTTGGATGAGAACTGCAGCCCTTCCGTCTTTTAGTAAGTTATCGCTGCGAAACGACACAACGGCGATGACCGCAGGTAGCTATCAGCTGGATATTGAAGACCGTAGGTTTAATCTATGCCGTGATCATGACTCGTGCTTACCGCTTGCAGGCTTTCCTGTCACTGAGTATGGGGGTACGAAATCCATACTGATATCTACTCGAACCATAATGGGGGGGCAAAATCCATTCATGGGGATTGCATATGTTGTTGTTGGCGGACTTTGCATTGTTCTCGGAGCATTGTTCACCATTGCACATTTAGTACGGCCTAGGTAAGATGCTCTATCTGACATTTTCATCTGAGGCTCATCTTTTTAGGAAACTTGGGGATCATACTTATTTGACCTGGAACAATGAACAAGAGAGTGTAGCTGTGACAAGCGGCAGGTTTGGCTCTCATGTCCCTTAGAGGGCCGCCACCTCTGCGTCGGCTGCTTCAAGAATTCCCATTCCGTTTGACACAAAATTGTTAGTCCTCGCTCCTTGCTGTGTTTGATATCAGGTGTTAGTCATCTGCTAAATATGACCAGCCGCGTATTTGTTTAAAGGCGTTTGTAGGTGATCTGACCGAGTTCGCTACCCTTGGCGTTTACTTCCATACCACATTATCTGTCCCCTTTTTGCGATAGGAGAATTTGACTTAACCCCTTCATTTACCCTGAGTAGCCGGGCTTCATGTTCTCTTCTGTTATCGAATCGGATAAATTGACCCCTTACTGAAACATTCTCGAGAGACCAGCATTCCGGACACGAAGCTTCTTGTTGAGCAGATGTGATCAAATTCTTCGTAGCGGTTGGCAACAGCTTCTCAGAGTTTATATACCCTCCGGGTGCCATTTCTTGGTTCCTTTGGCAATGAAGGCTTGGAGCTCGATATCACAATGGCTTCAGTATTTATTTTGCAGATCATTTTACTCGCTGCCATTACCAACTTGACGCCCCTATGCAGCGCGTCCCTCGCACAGCGAGGTTTCTGCGCCACGCCAGCGCCCGATGAGGCACTAAAGGCAGAGCATAGGAGATTCGGTATGATAGAGTCTCAGCCTGATACCGTTGGCGAAGATAATCGGCAAGCCCTACGTTCGATTGAGATTGAAACTTGGTTCCACATTGTAAGCAGCGAGGCAGCGGCCAATTCAGTCTCAGACGAGATGATCACTAGCCAGGTATGTGAATAGGATGGTATTAATGTGTTTCGTTTGTACGTCCCTAGTCTAATAGCGCCTGCAGTTTTCCTATATTCAGAAAGCGTATGAAAGCGCAACTATTACGTACCGACTACAGGGTGTCACTCGCCAGGTCAGCGATGTGTGGGCTCGCAATGACGACGAGCTTGCGATGAAAAGTGCCCTGCGCAGAGGGAACTACAGTACTCTCAACGTCTACTTTCAAACCGACCTCCAGGCATCTTCCAATGATGGTTCCAGGGCTTCTTTTGGCTCCAAGAATCGCGGGACAGACGTCTCAGACGAGAGTTCTAATGTGCTTGGTTTCTGCACCTTACCTGATTCAAGTGTTAACGGTAGCAGTCCACGCTCTAGCTATATAAAAGACGGTTGTAACGTGCTAGCACAGACAATGCCTGGTGGTAGTCTTGCTCATTATAACCAAGGTGGTACTGCGGTTCATGAGATTGGCCATTGGAATGGACTTCTTCACACGTTCGAGGGGGAGTCATGCTCTGCAGACAACGAAGGTGATTTCATCGATGATACACCGGAACAATCTCAGCCTACGAACGGTTGTCCTATTGGAAAGGATTCATGTCCCGACCTCCCTGGTCTTGATGCAATACACAACTTCATGGACTATTCTTCTGATGATTGCTATGAAAGCTTTACATCTGATCAAGAGAGAAGGATGCGAAACATGTGGTCCGCCATGAGGCAAGGAAAATGATTAGCTCCCAATCCCCTTGCGTTCTCTGCACATATACGCCAGTATTAGTTGTTGGGTGGATACATTAAGGATACCTTAGCATATGAACAGGGTCATTTATTTGTCTTATTTGCGCCTCAAATGGAATGGGTTTTTCTTGTACAATTTGTAGTATCAAGAGAGAGTCATATTTGGATGCCCAATCCCAGCCCTAACTTTACCATGCACATCCTAGCTAGTTTCCAATCACTAAGAATAATTGATCATTCACCTCTTGCGCTTTTTACCCCGATCTTCATCGTCCAGGCCGCTTTCCCTGTCCTTCTTCTTTGCCCTCAATTCCAACTCATCCCAGTCCTCACCGCTCTCTTCGTCCGCACTGAAATCATCTGTTGCCTCGGCGCTAGCATCATCATCGAACTCGCTATCATCTTCTGAGCTCTCATCAGCTGCAGCAAGCTCTGATTCGGAAAGCTCAAATGCAGACTCTTCTTCTTCATCAGAGCCACCCTCCGAATCAGATTCTGCCGCCAGGAACGACCAACCTCCATCGGCAAAGAACCCATACGGATCGCTGACAACTGTCTTCATGATAGTTGTCCAATTCAAGTTCAGAGGCCCCTCAGTAAACGCGATGTCAACGGAATCTAACCAATCTTTTACCCCTTCCAATGACTCAACTGGGATTGTATTTATGTGCACAGGGGCCCTGTGAAAGTCTTTGAAAACAAATACAAGATCGAAGTTTTTGAGCCCAAACTAGGTTGGTGTGAGTACCAGAAAAATCTTTTGGTCAAGGTTGCAACTTACTTGTACTCTTTCTAGATGAGCAATCTCCACCTCATTTAAGGTGATTGCCAGGAAGGGCGGTTCTGTCAGTTGAACGAGAGCATCTGTCGTGGGTTGAATCAGAACGTTAGACCGATTTGGGACACCAGTAAATCCAATTTCCCTAAACGGGATGTCAACATCCACACCCTCGTCCTTGCCAGCATCTGCGATCTTTTCGGCAAAGGCCTTGAATTCCCGGTCTAGAGCCGCCCGTCGTCGTCGCTCTTCCTGTTCAGCTTCGAATTCTTCCTCATCTCCGTAGCGGTGCTTGCGCCTGCGATTACCGGTTTCATCGAACTGCATTTCGGTAGCCTCTCTATAGAATTGCACGTCCCTGGTCTTTCTTTTACCGATCATTATTGGAGTCTTCAGATGAACGTGTATAAGGACAATGAGCTCATGAGCACATGGTTGAAAAAACAAATGCTTCACGTTGCTGAACAGCACATCCACATGTTCATTCCGGAAGGGTGACATATAACGAAGACCGTTTTGATGAATCTCAACCTCTCCAGGAACTCGCTTGCCGTCCAAAGGAGGCCGAAGATAGACATCAGGTAGCTTGACCGGGCGACGATCTAGAGGTGCTCAGTCCATGTAAGCCAAAAAAGTAGGGCGATCGATGCTACTCACTCCTGATTTCAACCAATTTATCTTGTTCGACGACATCCTCCATTTCCTTCTTTTCCTGCTCGCGTCGCAATGCATTCTTTCTCAGCTCCGTAATATCCTGCGCCACTTGAGCAAGACGGTCATTATCTTTGGATCGAAGGGTCAAGTTTCGCAAAAAATGCGCCGATAGATCTTCAAAGGGCTGGTCATCCTTTCTACCAACACCTTGGCCGGGAGAAAGAAAATTGATTCGGAGGTACGCGTACTCTCCTTCATCACTTTTGCTGGCATTTTTGATTGTGTTGATGTGAAATGGTACTGGGCGACCCATAATGGGGACAATAACGGTCGCAGCCTTTTGGTCTACATACACAATCAAGTCTTTGACCTTCGTCGGCAGTTGATTATCTCTTTTGTAGGACTCGAATCGCTTAAACTTTTTCTGGGTGACTCCATTATCATCTCCAGTGGTCCCGGCAAATCTGTCAAGCCCTTCCTTGGTCTTCTTTGTGGCTAATTCTTTTTGGTGTTCACGGCGTCGTGCCTCGGCACCTTCATTAATTTGTGTCGGTCTTTCAGCGCGAAGTTTAGTCCGTGTAACATTTCTGTTGGCAATGGCGTTTGGTTTGGACTCTTTCTTCTCCTTGACAGGCTTTTGAGGTTCCTCTTCATCCCCAAAATAGAATGATACAGAATCCATATCAACGCCAGCTTCTTTCGTAAACACAAGTGGGCCGGTATCTCCAACACGAACAGTATCAGTGATGACCATTGAATAGATGGCATTTTTCTTGTCTTTTGTGTTCGACTCTTCCACATCCGTCAGCCCGACTGTGATGGAAAAGGTCATGCCGCTCTTCAGGACTTTTTCGTTCTTTGAATTAAGCACCATGTTGGCATCTCGAAGCTCAATTCCTATACCCGCACCGACGGTTTTAAGAAAATGGGCTTCCAATTCCGGTCTTTTGGCTCGAACCAGGCTAACCGCCTTGTTGTACAGATCCTTACCTACCGTGCCGTCGCGAACCTCTTTCATGATAGTTTCGCGTATATTGAGTAGGAAAGCATAATTTGATTCCTGCGCTTTGCTCGGATCTACCAAGTAAGTACGAGCAATCAACGAACTGTATGTTTTGTAGCGAATCCCGAAGCCGGCAATGATGATTCCCGGCTGGAGATTGTTGCTGTCCGAGGCTGCTGTGAGCTTGAGATCATATTTTCCTCCACTTTGAATGACGGGTCCATAAGCCCAATCGATTTGTTGGGGGTCGAATTCAGCCGGTAATTTTCCTAGCTTATTGAAAAACTTCGCATCGTCAATCTTTGCATCAATCCGCATTGATAGTGCTTTATGAGTCATTTGCTTCTCTTCATCAAGTAAGCGAGACATTTCATCAACGAAGTATTCGGACATCAGCCCAGTACAAGCTCGAGACGCATTTCGTATTGAGACCTGTAATTTGTTACTTTTGTTATCTGAGAATAGCCAAGCAGCAACTTACTAGTTCATCTGTATCCTTCACCGAGAACGCGGCCGAAAGGGCTGGCGAAATATCGACCTCTTCTACATCTTTGGAGACGGCAGTATAGGCTTTCCTCCAGTCCTCGGCGAAGGGACCCGTAGTTGTATCCCTTGCCAAGATACCTACTCTTTTCTTCATGTCCCAGGAAAGTGTTAGCTTTTATTTAGTGATAAGCCGTGCTCGTAATTGCGGGCATTAAACTCACGCCAGCATTTTTGATAACCTCGATGCACTTTTCAAACGACTTCATCTTCTCTTCGGGGTCTTTGGAAGTTACTAATATCTCTACTGGGAACTTTCCGCCCCTCAGTGGTTCTAGATGCTTCGCTGCGGTCCAGGTTTCACGTCAGTATAACAGAGAACAGATGCAGCCGGTGCTGCAAGCGGAAAAAGCTTGCCTTTTTTGGCTGTGGTCACAACATACACCACCTCCGTTGTGAAGACTAGCAGTGTCGCAGGGAACTCATAGCCAAGCAGCCAGAACTGTGTGAGAGACCAAATAAGTCAAAGGCCTTGATTAGGGTCTCTGAAGCTCTTACATGCATCGCGTTGTTTTTTTGGAAGCTATTTGCCTCATCAGTTTTCCCCATAAGGATGATGATGGACGAGACACCACCAAAGCTAGCATTGCCGGATCGTTTATCTGCCTTCCAAGCTGTATATAAGCTCGATAATCGAGTGAAGAATGTATTTCTATCAATTAGGATTTCTTCAGCCATGATGAAAGTGCGTTGATAGTAGCAGCTTGACAGTTGACGGACTAGCTACAACTAGTCTGGAGGAAGCTCCCCGAGGAACTTTTGAGAGCAATGCAAGAGATGGAGCGATCAAGGGATAAGACCAGGAGAGTAGGTGCTTGAGATGCGGGTGTAAACTCTGAGAGAGAGTTGGAAGGAGGTAGACAAGCAAGAATTCAGACCATGGACTTGTGTCGCTGATAGAAAATGAAAATTTCATTTATCACCAGGCTGGTATGGACAAAAGAAACAAAGATGGAGGAACAAACGCGAAAGCCCACGGGCGCGTTTCGCTCAATTCATTCCTGACAAATCAGAGATGTTTGGGTTGTTTGCTCCAAAAAGTACCGGACGGCGTAAATAGGCGGGCAGTGAGGCAGGCACACACCACCCAGCACAATAGTTATCTAGTAGGATGAACTAGGTCCCACCTCACTATTCCAAAATAGGTACGGAGTACTCCGTACAAAGTAGATGTCCTATCTAGTATGTAGCGAAAAGATTGTACGTGGGTCATGTGAACTGTTATGTTTTGCTGGTGAAATCCAGCGACTTATATCTAAGTCAGATACTTAACTTCACGGAGTATCTACTACTTGGTGATCTAGTATTATATAAGTAAGTTGCCACCTCGGGTGCTGTATAAAGCTCATTTCTAGGTTGAGTTGTTAAGGCGGTCGGATGAGGCGGTAATCTTTTGGCTACATACCCAAGTCTGTCTGCTTATCATGTGACTGTCGTTGGCCACTGACTTCTTTCTTCCTCAACTGCATCTAGCAGAGACCAATCAACCTATGTTTCTACGCCCTCGTTCCCTGTAGTGCTTCCTCGTACCTTGTAATAGTTTTCTTGCCAAGGTCACGACTTACTACATAAGAAAGCAGTTCACGTCGGTTGTATTGACATCGATCATTATTGACTCATTTGAGATTTTATGAAGTATGAAAACTCCTAACCCTCAGCAAATCGTACAGGGAAAGTCACTTCTACGTGTTGGGCCCATTCCTTCTTGTCTTTGCCATAATTACTTACCGCATCCAGCAGTCTAATGCACCTCCAGCCAAAACACTATCTTTAAGGCTTCAAGGGAGGTACTATTATGGATTCAGTCTAAGCACTGTGCTTGGATTTCCTATTGAATAAATAAACCTACGCTTTCGGATGGTTCCCAGTATAACTCAACATGGCAATCGACATACTACCCGCCTGTGACCAAGCTACGACTACCACTAGTGTAGACTCCCAACGCAGGAAGCCGCGACAAAATGCGGCTACCGGAGCTTCTGCTGCTGGGGTTCGTGCTCTTAGTGCGCAGGTTGTTGCCTTTTACTTTAGGGCACCTATAAAATCATTTTTTCGCACCCGAGTTGAGTATGCTATCACTTAAACCCGATACCTTTTATTTACTGATAGGGTTACCCCTGCTCCAGTTATATGGTATGCGATCTTCTTATTTTCGCCTCTCTGAGCTGAACCATTGATTATCCTCTTTTTCGGTAGGCATTTGCGAGGGCTGTTAACCCCCACAGTGGAAAAACGGGATGGTCTTTGCATACAACTACCCCTGGATTGCTTGTCCATGCTGTTCGTACTTATGGATGGCGCTTCATTCCAAATCAAGTTATGCCCCCGCTCCTTGGAAATGCTGGGTTGGTTTATTCTACCCCATGTGCTTGGTTCTATGCATGGGCTAACTGCTCATAGTATTGGTGCTGTACTTTACACGTCGTACCTTCAAGTCCTTGGGTTCCTATACGAGCCAGTGTCTGAAGGCGTTAAACGTGTGTATCCACCACCTCCTCCTTCAAGTACATTTGCAGCTGGCCTCATAGCTGGGACAATTCAGTCTGTTGTAGCTGCTCCTTTGGATGCTCTCCAGGTTCGCCTCCGAGTGCATGACCTGCTTGAAGGTCCATACAGAAGCATGTGGCACTACGGCCGTCACAAACTCAATCAAATTGGATTCCGAGGTGTTTTTGCCGGCTGGGGCTTATCTTTTTTACGGGATTCTTTCGGCTATGCAACTTTCTTTTGTGCATTCGAGTTCATGAAGTCTCAGGCCTACTATTCTTTTCTTACCTGGTACTACGGCTCACTACACTCGCATGGCTTAGGCACGCTTCGGGCCACTCAAGTAAGCGACCGCGATGTGCCTCTCATTAGACCTCATTATGCCCTAGAACCATGCTTCCTAATGGCTTCAGGTGTCGCAGCATCAATTGCTCAGCAAACTATACAGCACCCACTAAGTGCTATACAGAATCTCCATGTTGCTCGTTTGGAGTACCTTGATCACCAAGCAAGCCTTCATCCCTCAAAACGAGAAATGTTACGCCTATACTATTCTGCGTACCAGGAGACCTACAAAAGATGCAGAAGAAAGGCCACGAGGGCAGGTGGCTGGACTAGGTGGCTGTTTCGTGGGTTTGTAAAGGACGCCATTCGTCAGGTACCAAGTACAAGCGCTGGATTGGTGATATTTGAGTTGGTACGTCGTAAATATGCTAGCATGGCAGACGCTGTATATATCCAGAAAGGTGGCTATGATATCCTCCTATCATGAGAAACTTGTCATTAGGCTCCCTTCGTTAAACTCGTAATTATCTTGCACTATTTTCTTTTCACTGGAAACCCCTGAGAGAGGCATCTTTCAAGAACCGGAAAACAACCAATAGTAGGGATACCATTTCTATAAACCTAATGTGTAGTATAATACCAGATGTGATCCAATAGTATCAGGGGTAAATAAATGTATGTTCTGGGGCGTGCCAAAACTATCATCATCATTAGGCTGCTATGTACCCATGAAAATTGCCAAGAAATGAAAATAGACAGACTCTTGATACTCTACAAGACAGAATAGTTTCCTATAGGTGTTTTTATAATCCTAGACAAACTTCCATTAAGATAATACCAAAAACACCTATCATATCTCACCCTTTATTATGGCCATATGGGACATCGAGTAGTGTGGTGCTATCGCACAATAATGAAATATTGAATATGATAAGATCCATAATTTTACCTTCTCCAGTCCTAAAACTCCTGAATGGAAACTATAATCACTGTGTACTTCTTGATATAATATGCTTCCCTCGAGAGACATAGCTTCTTTGGTACTGAGAGTCTACGAGAAATGACATAAGGCGTTCAACTTTAAAAAACAAAAACATTACTTTCTGGTCAGAAGAAGTCACATATTACCATTGTAACTCCAATGCAACATACTACCTCAAGACAGTGGCTTCTCATCCACTGACATGGACCGAGGGGTGTTTCTGATAATGAGTATGACGTCGCGGGATGTCCTTCAAGTCGAGCCACGTGACATCCCGCATATATTAAGTCATAGGACACCCCATTGTTTGCGGGGGATCCGACAACCCCATTGGGCCTAGCGGCTAGCGCCAGTGGTTACATAACTACTTACTAGTAACTAACTAACTAACTAGTTAGTTACTGGTACTATCTACTACGGAGTACTGGTAGTAGTCATCTGGTTGTCATCCTTACTTTCAAAATATAACCTTTGTACCCATTAGAAGCCCTGCCTCTGCCTCGGGCAGGCCCACTTAGCCAATATTTTCACCAGCTTTCCACATACCTTGTGTGTCTGGATCTTAACTCTCTGGCCCGTTTCAAGCCTTCCGTCTGACCATTTTCGCTATTAGGCCGCGGACGTCGTCATTCTGCATTGTTGATCCATCAAACATAGTCTCGTGAGCAGCTCTCTAAACACTGTTGTTACCGCCTTCTATGCTTGTCAGCGTCCTTGTCAACTCTTCGCTCCCTCACACCCTGGTTGCCCCTACTTTAGTCTTTCTTCCTCGTCCTATTGCTGCGTTCTTTCTGCACTGCTGGCCTTCCGTTCCACCCCTTCAAATCGAGCCACTAGCCACCACCTTGCATCAATGCCCACACACCTTCCTCTTTTATCCGGAGACCTGCGGAGATTGCCTGTTCTCCTTTGCTGTTAGTTCTAACCGTTTTGTAACTTGTCCCATGTGAAAGTGGTAATACAGAGAGAAAAGCGAAACATCGAAAATCAAAAGGGGCTGTCAATCCCAGCCCATTACAACCGCCAACATTCCTCACACAACATTTCCACCTCATACCTCCTCTAACATACCATTGCGGTGCCTGCATCCCCATTTTCAGCCTCCTGCACCGCCTATCAAAGCAGTGGACCCGGGTTGTGAGAGGGGCACTTGGCGCTCTTCTCTGTTATCCACTCACTCCGCCGAGTCTGAACTCTCCACCTGGACTAACAGTGGGGATCTGACCGAACAATTCGCTGATGCCGAGTATTCTTCTCAGAGCCATCCTGGGAATCCTTTAGACCGTGGAAACTCCAGTCGAAAGGGATTCGGTGCACGAATAAAGAATCCGAATCGTGTTCGTTGTCCGCATTTTTCTGTGGCTGGTGAAGACGAATCCGAGAAAATCGAGATACCCTGCCCACCAACCCGGAAAGTGCCTCGGATAGAGCTAATTTTAGCCGTCATAATGTCCCCTAATAACCGGCAAAATGCACAGATACATGGCTTAGTCGGAAAACCTCTGTTGTAAGTGTCAAAGGCCACACCAAAGAGTTTTGAATATATACTGAGATTAAGTAGGTATTTCACGAGTGTCTTCGTGTCTCTTGGTGTTTTCCTTTTTGGGTATGACCAGGGTGTTATGTCTGGAATCATCACGTCTGTCTTCCCTGTATAACCAACAAGAAGAGCTTTTCTAACACACGATAAGTGGCTGGTACTTCAAGGATTACTTTAACCAACCCTCACGAGCAGCCATAGGTACCGTTGTCGCAATTCTTGAAGTCGGGGCTTTTGTATCGTCGATACTCGTGGGACGAATTGGTGACTTGATAGGCCGTCGCAAAACTATTTTGTATGGTTCCATTGTCTTCTTCATCGGCGGCGCATTGCAGGCCTTTGCAACAGGGTTATCTATGATGATGGTCGGTCGTATTGTTGCAGGCTTAGGTGTCGGGGCGTTGTCTACAATCGTGCCTGTTTACCAGTCTGAAATATCGGTAATTATCTCCTTCCTTCCTTACCACATATTTCCTCGACTAATTTGCTGACGTATCATGGCAAGCCTCCTCACAACCGGGGAAAACTAGCATGTATAGAGTTCACAGGGAATATCTCCGGATATGCGGCCAGCGTCTGGGTGGATTATTTCTGTAGCTTTATAGATAGTAATTACTCATGGCGCTTGCCATTATTGTGCCAGTGCATCATGGGTGCCCTTCTTGGTATGGGAAGCCTCATCATCTGCGAGTCACCCAGGTAAGTTTATGATTGAACAGCCTGGTTTGCAAAACTGTACTCACGTGAGACTAGGTGGCTGTTGGATAATGATTATGATGAGGAGGGTATGGTTGTTATTGCAAATCTCTATGGGAGTGGCGATCTTCACAATGACAAAGCTAGGCAAGAGTACAGAGATATTAAGATGAACGTCCTTCTCCAAAGACAGGAAGGCGAAAGGTCATACGGGGACATGTTCAAACGATACCACAAACGGGTCTTGATCGCAATGTCGGCGCAAGCATTGGCTCAACTCAACGGCATCAACGTCATCTCCTACTATGCTCCTCTTGTGTTCGAATCGGCAGGATGGGCCGGTCGTGACGCTATATTGATGACTGGGATCAATGCAGTATCGTATCTGCTTTCTACTGTGCCTCCGTGGTATCTCGTGGATCGCTGGGGGAGGCGACCAATTTTACTCTCCGGAGCGGTGGCCATGATCATTTCTCTGTCTCTTATTTCCTATTTCATTTACATTGACGTCGTGGCAACTCCAACCCTCACCGTCATCTTTGTTATGATCTACAACGCTGCTTTTGGTGCATCATGGGGACCTATACCATGGCTTTATCCTCCGGAAATTTTGCCCTTGAGTATTCGCGCCAAGGGTGCCAGTCTAAGTACGGCGGCAAACTGGGCCTTTAATTGGCTTGTTGGAGAGGTTACTCCTGTTCTCCAGGCTGTAATCAAGTGGCGTCTCTATTTGGTGCATGCCTTTTTTTGTGCGTGCAGCTTCGTACTTGGTGAGATCTTGTCCAGCTTCCCGGGCGTCACTCTTTCTAACATCAATAAAAAAGTTTACTTCTTATACCCAGAAACTAGTGGGGTCCGCTTGGAGGATATGAATTTACTATTCGGAGATGCAACTACTGCTATGCCGACGCCGGCCACCCAGGGAGAGCGCGGTTCCCTTATGGGTGCAGGATCACCTGTACCTTCACTCGATATTAGAAGGCAATATGGCCACTTGGGAGCAGATAGCGCCATACCTGGGCTGGACATTGACCCGCCAAATATAGGTTCTATTGTTAGCACCACACCTGCAAGGCCAGGCATCTGGGAAGATAGTGCTAACAGACTTGAGGGTTTTGGTGGCTGGATTTCAAACATGATAACTCGACGTAAAGATTCCGGGCTACCTACACCAGCCAATCAGTATAGACGTCTTGGACAAGAGGAGAATGAATAGGAATTCGCGGTCGGCCGCTTTGATTGCAATGGTGATATAAATGTGCTACCGTGTCTGTCACTGGCTGCTTTTTTTATTTTCATTTACTGCGCATTTTCCCTGAGCAGGTTACTACATGCTGTTGTTGTCTCTCCTTTCTGTCTCTATCTTTATTGCCAATCTTTTTCATTCCCCGATCCCATATTTGTGTTTCCCGTTGAAATATCTTGCAGGGTTCTCCCCTCAAGGGCGATTGAAGCAGCACGATTTGAATTTGGTCATAGGAGGATGTATGGCGCATCCATCACTGTATATACTCCGTGGTCACTAAATGATGCTAGTGGGTTGTTGAATGGAAAACACCGGAAAAAGCACCAATCTAAGCACATGGCATAAGATGAGGCATGTAATAAAGTGCAATAGTGACGACCTAGCTACTTCTTGTCTACACTCGCAGCTTCGGGTTGAAGCAGCTGTTATACGATGAATCGGTGCCTTTTATAGGTTTGATTTATATGAGAAGGATATATACTAAGTTTTAATCAACGACGACCTCGCTGTCCCGGGACCCAGACATAGTGTAACCCTCAGCTCAACTTTAAAACAACCAGTAGGCTAATGACTTCCTAGTTTGCAGGGTACATATAACTAAAAATTTCCCAACTTGGACAATCTTATGACCATTCAAGATATCAACTAAACAATGAAATATACTACATACTCTAATTTATTACATTATCTACAGTATATATAAGTATGTAAAAAAAGGCTCCTTCATAGCAGCACCATACTGCATTAAGTACCGTAGTTTTATAGGTTCGCAGATAAAAGGAAATTTACATTCAAGTAATCCTCTGTACTATCCATTAGGAGTAAATCTGGGGTTTAACTTACTCCAGTCTTAAAAAAGCTCAGCATAATCTAAGCGTCCTCTATAATTTAAATAATTCTCCAGCCTTTCTGGGCCCTAGAACCGGCAAGGTCCCCAGAGCCCCGCAGAGTAAAGCTATATAATTCCAGTTTTTTATACTAGGTGGCAACCCCCCAGATCCCCTGCTTATTTTCATTATTCAATATACTCAAATTTATAGTAAGCCTTTTATATCCACCTACTTGTTCATCCGAGAACTTTACAGTATAAGAACTGTCGAATCTGCCTACACATAGTATACTCCTTAACCTGCATGTGTAGACATGTGTGCGGGGGGGATTATATTTCACAAATTTAATAAAAGAGCTGCAGCCTAACTGATAAGCTCAGAATAATCCCCCACAATTTAACCATAGTATATATGCGGAGCTTCAGTGCAGTAATGACAAAAGAATTTAATAAGTATTATCCCATATACCCTGGACTTGCGCTCTGACATAGTAAGAAATTATTATTGTTCCGCCCAATATAAGTCTTTATTCCAAAGAATAATTCATCATACTCGGTACCAATTATATCCGAAGTAGTAAGTATACATGGTGGCTAGGTCTTGACAGCTGAAATATCTAGTGGCCTGTCGTATTATAAATAAGAAAGCAATAGTAGAATCATAGTTCTAAATAACTAAGCACTCTCTGCTTATAATACTGGAGAGCAGCATTAGCTGCAGCAATTACATGGAGTTTGGAGATGGGAATCAACATACAGGTAATAAATAGGCTGCCAAAGTTGTCCTAGAACCTTATAAGGCAGCTAGATGATCGCCCTGTTAATATTACATACAGAAACAGACAGAAACAGACACATATATAGGCAATGCTACAGCCAACTTTAGTCTACTAAGAGCCCAGTGCTACTACTCTATAGCAGAGAAAATGCGAGCTATTTCCGGAGAGATGCCGGTGAAATTTATAGGCAAAAGACTAGCTAGGATAGATTATAGCTACCTACTTCGATAGTAGATTTGCCAATTTCCGTGGCAGTAGCCTAATAATAATAGCAGTGTTGCTGCATTTCTGATGAGAACTATTTTTAAGGTACTAGCCACACACCTATCAATTAACATGATTTACCTACTCCATCCTGAGTATATACTCAGGGTCACTTGTTAGGTAAATGTAGTGAAAGGGAAGAGCAACCATATTACCTTTTGGAGGCTAGAACATGCCAAGTGGGCCCCGGAGCTTTCAGACCACGTGCCCGAGCTTTCCGTCTTATCTCCAGGCCAACTCTCCATTTGCACTTCCTCCTTCGTATTACCATTACATTTTTGACCTGGCAATCTGTCTTTCCCTCCTACCTACCTACTTATTTCACTTCTCCATTTTTATTTCCATAATCGACACCCGCCCAAAACCTGTCAGCATCTTGAGAACTTTCTTCTTCGTTCGTTTCATACCGTACTCAACTGGATGTTGTCTTGAATCCCTTCCATTCTTTGCATTTTATTTCTTCCAGTATATTTAACATATTCGTTCTCTACATTCACAACCAACTCCATCCACTGCATACTCATACAAGGACCAATCATTATTCCCAGAAATGCTCATCATCTTCCCTTGAAGAAGCCAATAACTGCGAACAACTTATTCTCATCATTTGTCCCTGGAGGTTTGAATAGCTTGAATCCGATCTGTTCAAGTTGTCTTGGCTTCCTCTACCACACGTCGGCATTTTCTCCCCACCCCATTACACTCTGCAACCTTCAAAAATGGCAGAATCTAGCATAGGGTCAAGCTCTGGGGTTAATATCACCTCTGATGTGCGACGCAGAATTACCCCCCGCCCCGAAAAGTCAACCTGGCATTCTGATAATGACAGAGACGGCGACAGTAAGCGGAATTCTGAGGTAGAACCTACCACCATACCTTCGCACCAACACCAATTGTCTTCATTATATTCCAACTGACTTAAAATTTGGTATGAATTTAGTCTGCTTCAATTACTTCTGAGACTGCCAACTGGGAGCCTATACTTGCGCCACTTGTGTTGACAGTCTTGTCAATTTTCACTCGCATGTATCAAATTGGCCGTTCGAATATTGTGACATGGGATGAAGCACAGTAAGTAAACCACCACCGTTTCTGGTTGTGCATTGTTAACATAGTTCTCCTCTGGTTGTGTTCAGTTTCGGAAAATTTGGATCCCATTATCTGAAGCGTGAATTTTATTTTGATGTTCATCCACCACTGGGGAAGATGTTGGTTGGCTTGTCGGGATATCTTGCTGGCTATAATGGGTCATTCGAATTCAAGTCTGGTGAGAACTACCCAGAAGATGTCAACTACACGTTCATGCGTCTCTTCAATGCTGCATTCGGGGTGGCATGTGTCCCTCTGGCATATTATACTGCGCGAGAACTCGGGTTCCGGAGGGCCACCGTCTGGCTTGTTAGCCTGATGGTTCTGTTTGAGAACTCGTATGCAACGATCTCGAGATTTATACTCCTGGATTCCATGTTACTATGCTTCACATTTACAACAACGCTGTGTTGGGCGAAGTTTCATCGGCTGCAACACGCTAGTTTCTCGATCGAGTGGTTTGTATGGCTTTTTCTCACAGGTGTTAGCATTGGCTGCGTCTGCAGTGTCAAGTGGGTTGGCTTCTTTTGCACTGCAATTGTGGGACTCTACACGGTTGAAGATCTATGGACCAAATTTGGTGACCAAAAGATGCGAGAGGTAAGCAATCTTGATAACCCAACAGTTGGCATCTTTACAATCTAAACGTTTGACAGGTTGTAGTAGTGAAACATTTTGCTGCCCGGGTAGCGGGTCTAATAATCGTTCCTTGCGTGGTTTACATATTGTCTTTCTATGTCCATTTCTGGATTTTAGAAAACAGTGGACCCGGTGATGCCCAAATGAGCTCGCTTTTCCAAGCGAATTTGAAGGGCACTGAGGTGGGAAAAGACAGTCCCCTTGAGATAGCATTGGGGTCACGTGTAACGCTGAAAAATATGGGTTACGGTGGTGGGCTTCTCCATTCGCACATCCAAACATACCCCGAAGGGTCAACCCAGCAACAGGTTACCTGCTATCATCACAAGGATGCCAATAATGATTGGTTCATTTATCCCAACCGCCACGAGCCGGATTTTGATACTGATGGTCCTTTGAGATTTATTGGCGATGGCGACATCATCCGTTTAATCCATGGCCAGACAGGTCGGAACCTGCATTCACATGCTATATCTGCCCCAGTTACCAAGAGTCAGTACGAAGTTTCTTCCTATGGCAATATTACTATTGGGGACGACAAGGATCATTGGGCGATTGAGGTTATCGATGACGTCGCCTCCAGGGACAGGAGCAGGATCCGGACCCTTACCACCGCATTCCGCTTGAGACATCCCGTCCTGGGCTGTTATTTGCGTGCAGGAAATGTGAATCTTCCGCAGTGGGGATTCAAGCAGATTGAAACCACATGTGCAAAGGAAGATAAACCCAACGATGTCTACACGCATTGGAATGTGGAGTCTCATTTTAATGAAAAACGTGAGTTTCATCCTAATATTACTTCCGTCTTAGCTTGTCTTGTATTGTTCATTCTAACATTGAAAGATAGTACCGCCTGGTGACCCGGGGTCCTACAAATCGCCCTTCTGGAAAGACTTTATTCACTTAAATGTCGCTATGATGACATCCAACAACGCTCTTGTTCCTGACCCAGATAAGCAAGATGATCTTGCCTCAAAGTTCTGGCAGTGGCCAATACTCAATGTGGGTCTTCGTATGTGCTCTTGGGATGACAGCACGGTGAAATATTACCTTCTGGGAAACCCCTTCGTCTATTGGGGAAGCACCATGAGCCTTGGCATATTCGGGCTTCTGATGCTTTGGTACCTGGTCCGTTGGCAGCGAGGCTATAACGAGCTCTCTCAGGCCGATATTAACCATATCCATTATTCCGGACTGTACCCAGTTTTAGGGTGGGTGCTACATTACCTACCTTTCGCGGTTATGGCACGCGTTACATATGTTCACCATTATTACCCGGCTCTCTACTACGCCATACTCACATTCGGGTTCTGTGTTGACTGGCTTACTCAAGGATTGAGTAGCAAATTTCGATGGGCGCTCTATACAATCCTTTACTGCATCATCATTGGTATGTTCTTCTATTTCCGAGCAATCGTGTTCGGCATCGAAGGTTCCAGTCAGCAGTGGTCACATTTGAATTGGTTCAGTGGTTGGCGAATTGCCAATTAGGTTGCTTTTCTATCCTCGTGGTACCCCTTTTTCCCTTGCTACCATTTCACACTTTTGTATGCTATTATACTGTATGGGCTACCCCACAAGATACGCCCTTTCTTTCTTTCTTTCGACAAGCTAAACCATTCTCCTTGATGTCATACCTCCTCGTCGAATTGTATCCTGCCTTCTTTACACTACCTGATGCGGATGCGCCAGGGTGAAGGTGGGGTGGGGGGAGAAATAACCGATGTACGCAACTTTGTCCATTTTAAAATGAAGACCTTAGGCTTAGAGCCAATAATTATTTGCGTCCCGAGCAAAGGTATCAGCGAGAATTGGCCCATACAAGCCTGTTCAGAATATAATAGCAAACTGCCCTTTGGCATGCTTCATGGATTATCCCTCCATCTGCACCTATTTTGCGGATCTGTTCAACAACAGTTTCCAGTCAGACCATTTCCACCGTTGCGCATGGCATCATTGATACCCAAAGTGACAGTCTTTGGGGGACCGGGATTCAATCCACCAGTGACACCGTAACCTTTAACACCACTTCGACGGTCATAAAGATCGTATTTGCCAGCCTCGATATTCCGGTATATCATCTCAGCCACTTCCAAAAATGCACACTCGACATTTTCGCCTGATTTTGCACTTGTTTCAACGTAGCGAGCAATGTTGTTTAGACGACACCACTCTTCCGCTGCTTGCCTGCTGACCCTTTGGTGTGAACTTGAGTCATCGCCAGCGAGGTCACTTTTATTCCCAACCAGAATAACTACAATACCATCTTCCGCAATCTGCCGCAAGTCTTGCAACCACTGTGTGCATGATGTAAATGTGGAAGGTCTCGTAATGTCGAAGACCAGAAGGGCACCAGAAGCCCCTCTGAAGTATGAGCGGGTTATGGATTTGTACGTTTCCTGACCAGCCGTATCCCAGAGAGATAATTTCATTTTTTTCTGGGACTCTTGTGCCCTGCGCGGAGGGCTAGGCAGTCCAGAGGCGACCAACTCATTAGAACCACTTGTGCCGGGCGATGGAGACGAAGGTTGAATTGATGGGGAACGGCTGTGAACAGCATTGTCAAACACCCCTCCCAGCCCTTTCGAAGCAGGCGGGCCCACTGAAACGATCCGCGAGCCGAACTCTACGCCAATTGTAACATCGTGAGAGGATGAAAACCGGCCCTCGCAGAGCCTGATAGTCAACTAGGAGGTTTTGGCTATGTCAGCGTTGTGTAGAGCTCTTGAGTATGCATGCACCCACACTAGACTTTCCAGTCCCAGAGTCGCCGATGCAGACAAGTTTAGCGATATAATCCCATGGCTGTGACATGGATACAATAGAAGAAAGATAAGTTCTCAGTCACTTAGCAAGTGGGTGAGTATGAATTCTCGTCTATCAATGCCGCCGAATCAGACGTATGTAGAAGTCATGCTCTGAAACCGAATGTTAAGATAATGATCTCCAAGAAACTGTCGTCTTCGAAACTGTCGATGGAGCGTTTCAAGTTTTTTTTCTCGGCTGGCTTAATTGTAAAGATATCGATCGTACGATCATAGAAATAGGTAAAGTATGTCGGGGTGAAGGGTTTCTCAGAGCTGTCCTACAACACAGGGTCCCCTTGCAATTACCTCATATCTGACTAAACTAGAGAGTACTAGTTAACTAACTATTAGTACAGTAAGTAGTACTGAGTGGCGACCGACACCTATGATGAGTCATCTATCACCATGACCTTGCCTTATGACGCTTGCAACTCACCTACTCCGTACTGATAGCTCTTTCCCAGCTCCGCCTCTACAGGCCCCATAACCTTCACCTTTGACAGTGTTGTTGACTCTTTGATAGTCAGCTCTATGCTACTTGACTTCTATGATATGTACCTTTTGATCACGCTGAATGCTAAGTTCTGTGGGGATTTCACATCCACTGAGAGGTTCACCGCTCCGCTTGCAATACCTACCCCGGCATTTAGTAGTTGGGAAAGAGCCAACTCGTTGGACTTTGAGACTGGCTGTTCGAGGGTAAACGAACAGAAGGAGGAAGAGCAAGGCAGAAGGCAGGAAGAAGCTCGAGATGTTCTCAGAATGTATGTTGTTCCCAGGGAGCCTAGATGATTTTGCGGTGTGATTCATCGCTCACTAATTGTGTAGATGCCTCTCGTTTCCTTGCACAGTCCCAATCACGGGTGGTAGCTCACCCTGAGGATTCTCGCAACAAAGGACATGGACGCTTCCTACAACAACCGCGAAATCCATTCTTACCCTCGCGCCCGTTCTTCCATAGAAATACCCTCGATCCTTACCAGCCTGCCTCATCTCAAATATCCAACTTCCCCTTCGGCTCTCGGAGCCTAGCCCAGCCCGCACCTCTTTTCTATAGTGCCACCGATGAGTTTCGAGAAGAGGACGATGAGATCGAGCATGAGCGGGAGATTGCCGACTTCTATGCCTTGCAGAAGTCGCGGCGGCAATTTGGCAGCAGTTATCTTAAGGAGTCTTCAGAAGCTGACGACGACAACGATGCAGTGAGCGTGGACGAGCACAACAGCGGGAAAGGCATTCGGAGCTCTTGGCGTAATACCAACTCAAACGACAGGGCACAGGATCTACATGTTGAACACATGTGGAAGGCAAGCGAGACGGAAGATGCAATGCATGCCGAGCAAAGCAGCCGCGGAACTAGGGGGAACTTGGTTGAGATTCGCCTGGAAGATACATTGACATCCAGTGCCAATACTGGGGGATCGATTTCTCCTGGAATAGGTGATGAAGACCCACCCTCGGTCCAACGATTTCGGGAACAGCCCCAATCCCAGATGGGAAATCTCGGAATAGACTCGTTTCTCATGCCAATAGAATCAGACAACGCAGTAGTGCCGGAACGGTCTCAGCCATCAAGCCCACCCGGCTCCTATCAGACGTCGACAGCACCGGTAAGCGCGAGCTCGCCCACTCATGATGCCTTTTGGGGCCAATTGTTCTTGATATCTGTGGCCTGTCTCTTTGCTACTTCGTTTCTTGTCTACCTCCATACTTCCACACCGACCGACGACAAGTCAAAATGGGGCGATACGGTCTATTCGATGATGCACAAGTCATTTTACTTGCTGGGTGTCTATACCGTCGTTTCGATATCCTTATCTCTGCTATGGCTCGCGCTTCTACGGTCGTACGTACGTCCGTTGGTTTACGCCGTCATAGTTGCTGTTCCCGTAATTTTGTATTCGTTTTCCCTCTATCCGTTCATCTCGAGTTTCGGGGGTGCCTGGCATGGATCAAGCGTCCAAGACAAAGCCATGAGATGTGGGTCCATTGTTCCGTTTATCATGGCCAGTGCGTGGATCTACAACGTTGTCCGGGGCCGCCACAATATAGGAAGGGCGATCAATATACTCGAATTTGCATGCCGCATCCTTGCTGCTAACCCCGAACTTCTCCTCCTGGGGCTCGGCGTCCTTGTACTCATTGTCTCATGGACTTGGCTGTGGATGCTATTGTTCACGCGAGTGTTCCTGGGGGGGCATGTTTCGCGAACAAGGCTCTTTGTGCTCGATTCAAGCAGCTGGTACCTAGGTGTTTATTATGTTTTTGTCTACACATGGTCCTTGGGGGTCATTGCTGGTATCCGACGCACAGTCACAGCTGCAGCAGTGAGTCAGTGGTATTTCCATCGCTTTTCAACACCGGCTCCGACCTCCAGGCAAATAGTTCAGGCTGCAACCCTCCATACCCTTACAACCCTATTTGGCACAATTTGTTTGTCGAGCCTTTTTGCACTCATGATTCGACTACCCCTCTTGGTACTCCCGAGTCGCATTTCCTCCCTCCTGGGTTTCTGTGCCTATTCTTTTGTCCCAACTCCTATAACCACCATCACCGATCCACTTACTCTCACGTATGCTTCAATTCATTCCCAGCCGCTTGCCGTATCCGCTCGTGGTTTGGCTCAGATGACAAAATTTGCGCCTTCAATAGCTACGTCATCTTTGCATCCACGATCTTTCTCCTGGTCTCGTGATAACTCTTCGGCAATTCTTTCCTATCAGCTTTCGAAGCTTATCCTACATGCTGCTCGGCTCATGATGGCTTTAGCGCTGGGGTTTGGTGGCTGGGTGAGCACTGCTCGAAGCCTCAGCGTATCAAATGCCAGCGGTCCAATTCGTGGGAGCATGTATGCTTACATGGTTGGGTTCATTGCTGGGGCGATTGGCTGGAGTGTCTTGGGCGCAATTGAGGGTGTAATTGCAGACATTGTCGATGCATCTATTATCTGCTGGGGCAGTGAAGTTGGAACCTATGGCAGGGAGGCCAGGTATTGTCGGGAAGCTGGTTGGCTCTTCGGTGAGGAAGAACCTTGAGTTGGCATAATTGCAGCATATCGGGCGAACACTCAACTTGTCGCAGAAGCCTTTCGGCTCTGTAATACCCACGCCTGCAACAAACACTCTAGCATGATTTTATCCAAAGCGCTACTTCTATGAAATATTTGCTCATCTTGGGTGGCGTGAGTCCTGTGTTTTCGGTATATCAAGTCTCTTTTTTACTTTGACAATCCGTTGACGTACAATGAGGATTCCGCGAAACATGTATCCGAAGAGACATATATGCCTATATACTGTTGATTGTAGGAATCATTTAAGTTTGTAAACACTCGCCCCAACACTGCTCGCGTCTCTTGCTTTGTATTATGATATTAATATGATAGATACAGTGAGTATTCAAGAAACTCTAGGCCACTGTGACATGGATATATTCCTTTACCCAGTCTATTGCTTAGAACTACCTACAGTAACGGAAACAACTGCCTACCAAGCAAACACTATATGCTGGTCTTTGTTCGACTGACAATCCTCCCTATCCTCTGTTTGACTGATCCCCCCATTGGTTTTACTGACGCTCTTTTCCTAGAGTAGCCTACCTGACAAAAAGCCTAATAATATTAAGTATATACTTTGAAACTTCTTCTCCTTGTTGTCTTACTACACTTTATATCGCTATAAACAGGCCTTGTTTGTATGTAATTCATAAATATAACCGTATAATCCACCTACCCAGGTGGGTATAGAGATATATATATTAAATGCAAGGCAAGGTGTCTATAGTGTCAGTATTTAGGAAATACTTGTGCACATTGGAATTAGGTCATCATACAGGGCTTGTAGGATTTGGACGGCGAAGCAGATCTAGCAGATCTAGCAGGACAGGGTCTTCACTTTGACAAGGTCCAGTTCTCATATCCACCAGTAGCATACACTGTTGTATTCTATTGTGTTAGCCTCCAACTATTTCATGTCTAGAGCGTTAAAGGCATATTTTGTGCTTCGTTGACCTTCCACATTAGTTCTACTATCATTGAAGACTTATACTGGGGGACTAGGCGCGACCTTGTCAGGGCAAAGTGTATAGGACTCTGGGTTTTGATATTCTATAGTGCATCTACGAAAGCCTCGCTCCACAGTATAAAGGCAAGCAAATTTAATCTAAGGTACTGTGTATTTAAAGCTAGCTCATCAGAGTACAGTACTGAAAATGCAAAATTGGTAAAGTTCGGACCATACAACGTTAGTGATTAGTTTCCGCTTTTCCCCATTGTTTAGGTTAAATATTTAGGTGTCTACTAGTAGTACAGAGTATATAAGTAACGTAGGCAATAGTAGGTTGGCTCAAAAGTCTTTGTAGCCTGAATAGCTTCTCATTCTGGCATAGGTATTTTGTATTTGATCGGTCAAAGTTCACATTCGGTAATTAATGCCTCTCTCTCACTGACATGCAATTAGATCGGAAGGTGAAGACCTGGTCCCCAAAAGAATAGCATATATAACCTGTGGTATCATGAAACAACAGCGGACCAAAGCGCCGTGGGGGGGGGGATTTGTTACACCTGGTGCCTGGAACGCCGATTAAAAGCCGCTGCAATGGAATAGAAACTGGGACGCCAACATTTGTACAAAGTCGCGGTGGAGATACTTGTACCAGTTTGCCACCGCTACAGCTCAAGTCGGCTGTTCCATCCAACGCCTTCCTTCAAACACCACTCACTCAAAATTGCACGACTGAATCGGATTATCTCCAGAGGCGTGGCTGTCCGTGCAACTGGTAAGAAGTACTCGCCAAAATATTCCCCAGCTTTCAAGCGTTGTTTCCCTAGCCCCGAGAAATTTTTGGACCTTTTAGACCAGGTGCTAGGGAATTCGCGAGCGAGCACATCTTCTGAAATACCGCGCAAGCCTTCAAGCCAAAGTTTCTGAGATTCCCTGTAACATTCGGGTAGCCGGCTTTTCAACTCAAGAAGCTCTTTTCGATTCTTCTTATTTTCTTCCCATGAAACTGTAGTTTCGTCACTTCCTGGAGTGGGTATGGGGGTGTACTCCCCAGGCAATGGAATGGCTGCAAGTCGCTCAAGATCAAGGGCGTGGATAGAATCATACGAAACAGCACCGAGGATCAGACAGAGACTGTGAAGTCGCGGGTAGGGCGCACTATTTTTCCTCACTACACGCCAATATGCAAGGATCGATAGCCAAGAAGACGAATCTGCAGCCTGGCGAGATAGTACCTTCGAGTGATCATCAGCAACAAATGCTAAAATAAAGCAAAGAATAGCCTCAATAGCTGTGGCGGCCGCGAGCTTTTCATCAATTGCTGTTACACGGTCTTTGGCCGTATGTCGTTCCGCAGCATGTTTTAACTCTCGGCCCAGATTCCCGTATTTTTGATATTCGTCCTTCCAAGCTCGACGGTCACAATGGCGAGATGCGGTATTGCTCGATTGCGGTGACGAGCATTTGGCAGGTGTGTCTGAAGTCCTGGAACGCTTGGCTGCTGGCTGGACCGACGATGACCTTCCGTCATTGCCGCCAGATAGTTCTAACCGGTTGCTAGAGAACTTGGTATCCTTCGCCGATTTTGGTGTATCCTGTGGAATCGTGGCCGAATTCGAGATAAGATATATGGGTGTTTGACCTTTTGCTGGGGCAGAGACTTTCAGATGTTTTGAGTGTTCTCTTATATTGGCGTTCGCCGCCACAACATTTTTCACCTTCCCCTCCAAATGCAGTGATTTGCTGTAGTCAGAACGTTCAAATGCCGGCGTCTTTTGCCCAGCACTCGGAGCGAAGGAAGGCTCCATATCGTGTGCATATTTCACAGGTGAATTTGGCAGTGCTGGTTTCTTTTTGCCCGAGAATTTGAGGAGAGCTTCGACTCGTTTTCTGTTTGATCTTCCATATTTCAGTTTCACAACTAGCTGTGATGTCCCCAAAACAGCTTGCTGAATTGGTGGAAGATCGCCAGGTCTTTGTAGCGTGTTCCCCACGTGGTACTGTGGGTCGCTTCTTGTGGCAAATGACGAACCGAAACTCGATACATCCGCTGTTGTCAATAAACCTGTGTCATCCTCGTGGTTAGAGGCTTTGTTATGAAATGATACCGAGTCCACCTGTGGCGGGCCGTGCATAGCGGACTTTTCTTTCTGCATCTTGGCTCCAAAAATATCAAGCGTTGGAAAAATTCCGGATTGAGATGAGTCCAATCCCAACAATCCTTCATCATATTTGGCCAGCTCTTTCTCGATATCTGGAGGCAGCGTGGGCGACAAAAGTCGAGGCAATCTTGGACTGCTTGAAGTTGGAGGAAGAGTCGGCGATAGGAGGGCAGGAAGTCCATTACTCTTCAGCCGATCGACCTTAGTAGAGTCTGTTGTAAGGTCAGGTGGTAGCCTCGGTTTTTTCAGGGGCGCAGGGCCCTTTTGTTGTGGCCTCAAAAGTTCATTATTGCGTTCATAGGGGCGCTTGCGCTCGATGCTCCCAGGGTTAGAGGCGGATCGGAGTTGACTTGGAAGAGTCTTTTCTAGTGGCCTCTGTAGGCTATTACCAGTAATGCCAACTTTAGCGCCTCGGTCGTTTGTATCAAGCGTGCGAGTTGTCGAAGGGCCTTGGTTAGCGGTTTCATGGCTGATGGGAGAAGCCGAGGTACCACTTTTCCGTCTATTCTTGTAGTCATTCAAACTTATCTTCTTCTTGGTTGAATTGTTCGATGGCGTGCTCGTAGCACTTTGGGTCCCTGAACGCTGATCGGACATGACGTTCCCCGTTGCGTTGGACCAATCACCCACAGCCACGAGTAAGGAGTCTCCTTCGTGATGCGTCAGGAAAGTCATGTATTGTAACTGTTGCTCCTCTGGTGTAAAAGGGCCTTCATTACTCACTGCCCAGTTGTTGACAAAGCGGCTCCCAAGGTGGAAGGGCACATCAGTAGGAACAGTAAGGAGGAAAGGATAGAATGGGAGAACTTCTTGACTGAGTCGTTTCAATCGCTGATCGATTGTATCCTGTCTGGGACTATATGTTTGTTCGCTGGGGAACTTGGAGGTTTCTATTTCATCATCCGCGGAGCGAGAGGGCTGGTCCTCCGACATTGCAGTTTGTTGATAAGGCGTCTATGTGACTGAAGGGGAGCAATCTCTTCCCAAATTGTCCCAGGCCAGAATCCAGCGTACTTCTTCCTTCTCCTTTGGCCTCTCTGAATGAAATGAATGCCAGATATCATGTGGCTTCGCTGTTCAGAATTCAATTGTCAGGATCGCAGGGCATCCGCTTCATCAAACACAGATCGAGCGGCTACCGTGAGGAGATTACTGGAGCCGCTATTCCGATCCTGGAAGTCAGCTCCTTTATTGTTCTGTAGATTTCCCTTGCTATTCCCTTTACATCGAGTGCCTCCAAGAAACCGCGGCTTGGACTCTCAGAGACACTCAGCTCAGGCCTGGCCTACACAGGGCCACGTGAAGTCTGACAACCCTTCTAGGCTAGCCAGATCGAAACCGGGGGGTAAGATGTACAGTACAAGAGAGCGCCTTAAGTCTCGATCAGGCAACAGTATAGAGAACCAGCCTCAATCTGCCGTCCAGGAAATCGCGGAGAAACAGTCGATGTGTGCCGAAGCTAGACTGGTGTGCTTGGTGGCATAAGGGTGGAGAACGGGAGACTCCGTCTCTTTTGTTGAGAACTGCCGATGTACTGGTGGTGAAAAGGAAGAGGGGGGTGGAGATGCGGAAGGAGAAGACCAAAGAGCATCCTCTGGAGAGATGGATCCATTCATCTTGGTAAGTTGGAGTTGTGACCTGAGATTCGGGCTGCGGTCAAAGCGGAGGCGCTTGGCAGTAATCCGATCATCGGCTCCGTACTCCGTATCCGTCTACTCTTTCTAAACACCTACATCCAAGCTTACCAACGGCCCACTGTTCTCTATAACTTTCTCCACTCGCACTCAGCAGAATCCCATGATAAGCTGACCAGGTTTATTGATGGAGAACCCTCCACGGAGTATATGCCATCAATACATCCTTCAAAGACTGAGTAATATACATGCCCCAAGCAGTTAGCCAGGTGCTGATATGGTCTAGTGACTGGCCCCCATTTTCGTTCGCCTGAATATGGAAGGTCAGCGTTTTATGCCCAGTAGACAAGATGTCCTGATAATCATGGAACCTTACTATATTGCCATGCCGTAGATACTCCGTACAGACGATTGATACGGGACAGGACTGGCGGTCTCCAAATGTTCTCAAGATGACGGCACAAGAAGTTTGATACTTCTAATCGGGCTTCCGACTTTTGCCTCCAGTCAAACCGTCCTCCAGTCAAACCGTCCTTCAGATTGCTGTCTGTGTATGAGAAATGGGCGAATTAATTATGAACTAGACCTTTGAATAATGTAGCTTCCATCAGTCCCGCAAACTAACAATTGCTAGAGGGTGTTCTTATTGGACAGAAGAAATCCATGGCTGGAAGTATTGACTACAGATTCATAGCTGAGTCGAAGCTTCTTCAACCCTGCATGAATGGCCTTCTGAATGTCTGCAATCACATATATATACCCCGTATATAGTCCGCACGTAGCAAATATGATACCAAGCCGCTCTGCGGAGTATAACCCGCGCCTTTGTAGGTGTTTTAGCTACTAGTACGGATTACAAGCCGTTGTGCTATCGGCAAAAGATCAGAATAAAACAATCAAGACTGCTCATAGCGCCCCTACATGAAGTGCGATGTTACCACTGCAGCCACCGCAGTGATATAGGGATCAACTGGTAATATAAATTATCTTCAAGAGTCCAATTCTTAAATCCGTTCAAGTTATTTATTTCATACCAAGTACGGAGTATTTTTGCACAGAATCCACATAAAAGCTAAGGAACAAGCGGTAATGGGCAGTTGGGCGAAAAGAAATATCCCAGTAAACAGAGAAGTTTCCAGATCTGTCTCAGTTGCAATCCCAATTTTTGATAATGGAGCAGTTCCATTCCGGCTCAACGTCTAGTGCATTGCGCGTGTTCCAGAGTCTGTTGCTGTGTGAAGAAAAGATGCCTCGGAGTACTTGACTGATAATAATAGGGCGTTGGGGTCCCAGTTGCGGCGGGTTCAGAAAAAGTTGCGGAAGGATCAGAAAGTTAGATATCTTACAGATAAGATTTCTAATTCTTGATTAGATCTTTATATAATATAATTAATTAAAAATTAGAATTTATAAATCTAATCTCTACACAGTTATATTATATATCTAAAAATCTGATTTTCTGATTCTTGCACAGTTATATTATATATTTAAAAGATCTGATTTTTTAATTTCTGTGAAGCTATACTATTTTTTTTTATTATTTTTAAAAAATATTTATCTATAAGATTCTTCTTAGTTCTGTATATATAGTTATATACAGATATAATTTTATATAGATATAAGGATAGTAATCCTTATAACACTCGCGATATATTATATCACAAGGAATATCCATACTGCGGGAGCAGTTCCTGGCGAAGATATTATATTAATAAATATTATAATATATAATTTATAGAATTCTTCTAAATATATCTATCTATAAAAGAAATTAAATAAAAAATTAGTAATAATATTTTAAATAATATAAATATTATTTTAACTTTATAATAGATATATTTTTATTATATTATCTTAAATATATACTCTTATAAGTTTATTACTTAAAATCTATAAGATAATCTGTTAAAATTATATTTATATAAAATATTAGATATTATACTCACAAGAATTCTGTTAGGGAAATAATTAAATTAAGCTAATTCAATGATTGACTATTAATAGAGAAAAAATCAATAAAAAAAATAAATAAATAAAAATATTTAAATTATATTCTTTTATCTTTTTTATATAGTACTATTTTTTGCTTTATTTAATTATCTATTTAATCATGGTATACTGAACAATACATTTACACAGGCATTATTAAGACTTTGGGATTTGGAGGGTTTGTACAAGAACCCCATAACAAATTCTTCTGATTTTCTTAAGATTAATTATAAAATAAATATAATTTTATTATCTTCTAAAAATCTTTATAAAGAATTAAATATATTTTAATAAATTATAGAACTAGAATAGAGACTTAAAATTTTTAAATAATTCTGATATTTTATCTATAAAATTAAAAAAGATTAATATATATATATATATATATATATATTTTATAAAATAGTAAATATTATGATATTTATAATCATATCATCTTTTAATTATTCATTATTTAATAAGAGTCTATTACAAAGACTAATAATTAAAATAAAAATTTATTTAGATTATATATTTAAAAATTTATAAAAAAATAAAGCCGCGAAGCTTTTTTAAGAGAATAATTAAATAATTCAAAGAATTATAGACAGAAGATATAATTATAAATTCTAAAAATAACTTTTTATAAAAAAAATTTTTTATATATTTATAATATTAAAAAAAATAAAAATAAAGCTAGATTATAAAGCACAGAAACTAAATATTATATAATTATATTTATTTTTTAAATTATTTATAAGATATTAATCTAGAAGAGTTGTTGTTTCCAAGCCGAAAGACTAATATTATTTATAGTTATCTACAGACTTCTAGAATCTTATATATATACTCAGATATATTTAGAAAAAGACAGGCTTTACTCTTATAAGTATATATATTTTATAAATATTATTTCTTATAACTATCTTTCTCTTACAGGCTCTTTAATTAATCACAGACTCTCTAATTCTAAATTAGACTCTTTGATTAATCATAGACATACTATCTAGAGATTATTATCTTATTATATTATATTATATATAATAAAGCCCTGGACCAATCTTCTCAGACTAGTATAATTATATAAATAGATTATTAAAAAAATTAATATTATTTATAATTATTTATAGATTTCTAGAATTCTATATATATACTTAAATATATTTAGAAGAAGACAGACTTTATTCTTATAAGTATATATATCCTGTGGATATTATTCCTTATATTATTTCTATAAAATATAAAATAAAAAATCTATAAATAATTAGAATTTTTTATTATTAAATAAGATTTAATTATACTACTTATAAAATTAAAATTAAGTATTAATTAATAAAATAAAAAAATTAATTATATATAAAAAAAGTTATTATTATTTATAAATTAAATAAAATAATCTAATAATTAAAATTATTATAAAAGATTTTTATAAAAAGATATTCTATAATTAAATATATTAAAAATATTTATTTTATAAAATTTTATATTAATATTTAGAAAAATAATAAAATATTTTAACTATAAAAAATAAGATTATATAATAAAGAACTATTATTTATATAAAAATAAAAATATTAAAAAATTACTTGCTATTTAAATAAATTATAAAAAATTAATAAATATATTTTTTATAATATATTTTATTTTATTTTAAGATTATAAAAGTGATTACTTATATAGAATAAGACTAATCTATTTAAAAAGATTAAAATCTTAATTAATATAAATATAAAAATAAATTTAACATTGATAATATTAATAAAGACTGTAGAATAATTAATTATATTTATAAAGATTTTTATAAAATTCTTAAATAATAATAATATTTAATCAGAAAAAATTATAATATTAAAAATAAATTTTATAAATATTAAAAATAATTATAAAATTTATAAAAAAATTATCATTATAATATCTAATATAAAGAAAATTATATTAAATATATTATAAATTTAAATAGAGATTTTTATTATAGAGTTTAATTAATATTATTTAAGATTTTATAAAAGATAATAAATTAAGATATATTATATTATTATAACAGAGTTTCTCACAGAGAAGCTAATAATTAAATAATTATAAATTATAATAATTAGATTTATTTATAAAAAAATAAATCTAAAAATATTTTTAGAATAGCTTTATAATTTTAAAATAATATCTATAAAAAAAATAATAAGTTATTTATTTTTATAATTAAATATTAATCTAAAAATATTCTTAAAAAATATTATAAATTAAATCAAAAGTAAAGCTAATTTATAAAATATTATTAATAAAATAAGAAATATTCTAAAAGTATTTATTAGAGTGGCTAACAGCCAGGTCAGA